AGAAACACACGAAAATGGAAACAGATCTAAGAACGCACAGGGGTCAGTAAAACATTAAAAGATAAAATGCCGATAAGTAATTCATCATTTCTCTTGGACCAACCTTTATTGTTTTATGACCCTTCGCGCAGAACTCTTCATTGCCAATTCAAGAAAGACATTAGGATTACTAACACAAAAACAGAGAATGTCTCATATCGAGAATATTCAGCATTGAAAGACATAAAGAAAAAATTAATTATTTTTAATAATATATGGAAATCTCCACTTTTACCTGAAGACGGTCACGGGACCAGAAACCCGTGTAGTAAAATTACGGAAAATAAAGCATAATATTTTTTTCTAAAAATAACACATTACAACCAAAACGTTTGCGGCACTATTTCTAATTTTAATTATATATATTATATATATATATATATATATATATATATATATATATATATATATATATATATATATATATCCCAATAACGCACCGTACCTTAATATAAGCATAAAGTATCAAGATGTTATTTTCGCAGATTTCTCTTACTTAAATTCTCTATTCTAACGCCAATTCTTACCCACTTCAATTATTTCCTTTTCTTTTTTCCTTCTTTCCTTCTTTTGACTTTCAAATTTCCTGTGAAGAAAGTGAGAATTCATTCATCTTAGTAAAAGTACTTGCATTGATAAGTCCAAGGAAAAAACACTTTCCCATTGACGAAATGATCATCTGTATGAGGTAAATCGTTTGGATCTCATTAATTGTAATTAATTAAACTTATATGCTCTATAATAATATAATTAATTAAACTTATATGCTCTATAATAAAAATTATATTGAGCTTTTTTGTGGATCAGTTTTAAGATTTTATGTTAATAGGATCTAATTGGTTTACCTACCCATGGATTTTTTTTTACCTGTGTCTATCTGTTGTGGCCTGTTTAGGGGCCAGAAAGAAAGACACAGAAGACGAAGGTAGGTTGAACAAGTGTATTGAAAAAGCAGTTATATACAAAGCAAGAGTGTTAGTAATAAGCAGATAGAGGTGTATGTCCGAATGGTAGGTTAACACTGCGTCTACGCTATATTTAACACCCACCCACGAGGGTTGTATATGGCACAAGGCCGAGTTTATCGTGGGTTCTCCGATCCCGTAGGCTCGGCCAAAAATATTCCCTTAGTACCCAAATAAACGTGTTCAGGGTTTGTCTACCTCCCCGGACGAAACTCTGCCTTTAAAAAAAGAGCTTCGTTCGGGTTCCTTTCTGCCAAAGCAGAGAGTTCGACAGAAGACGCACACAGAGACTGCGTCTACGCTATATTTAACAGCCCCTCACCCCCACGAGGGTTGTACCGTGGGTACTCCGTAGGCTCGACCAAAAATATTCCCTCAGAACCCGAATAAACGGCTTCAGGGTCTGTCTAACTCCCCGGACGAAACTGCCCTTCGGCATAGCTACGTCCGGGTTCCTTTCTGCCAAAGCAGAGAGTTCGACAGAAGAAAAACACAGAGACTGCGTCTACGCTGTTATATTTAACAGCCCCTCACCCCCACGAGGGTTGTACCGTGGTACTCCGTAGGCTCGACAAAAAAAATATTCCCTCAGAACCCGAATAAACGGCTTCAGGGTCTGTCTAACTCCCCGGACGAAACTGCCCTTCGGCATAGCTACGTCCGGGTTCCTTTCTGCCAAAGCAGAGAGTTCGACAGAAGTCGCACACAGTCAGAGACTGAGTCTACGCTCCCCAACCGACTCTTCAGGTTAGTATTTATGAGAGGAGGAAGAGTTCATTCTACTGTAGGGGGGTTTACCACAACAGAAGAAGAGTTCATTCTACTGTAGGGGGGTTTACCACAACAGAAGAAGAGTTCATTATACTGTAGGGGGGGATTACCACAACAGAAGAAGAGTTCATTCTACTGTAGGGGGGGATTACCACAACAGAAGAAGAGTTCATTATACTGTGGGGGGTTTACCACAACAGAAGAAGAGTTCATTATACTGTAAAATTTTTTTACCACAACAGAAAAAGAGTTCATTCTATAAAGGGGGGTACCACAACAGAAGAAGAGTTCATTCTACTGTAGGGGGGGATCACCACAACAGAAGAAGGGTTCATTCTACTGTAGGGTGGTTTACCACAACAGAAGAAGAGTTTATTATACTGTAGGGGTGTTTACCACAACATAAGAAGAGTTCATTCTACTGTTGGGGGGTTACCACAACAGAAAAAGAGTTCATTCTACTGTAAGGGTTTACCACAACAGAAAAAGAGTTCATTCTACTGTGGGGGGGGGTTACCACAACAGAAGAAGAGTTCATTCTACTGTAGGGGGATTACCACAACAGAAGAAGAGTTCATTCTACTGTAGGGGGTTTACCACAACAGAAGAAGAGTTCATTCTACTGTAGGGGGGGATTACCACAACAGAAGAAGAGTTTATTATACTGTAGGGGTGTTTACCACAACAGAAGAAGAGTTCATTCTACTGTAGGGGGGGATTACCACAACAGAAGAAGAGTTCATTCTACTGTAGGGTGGTTTACCACAACAGAAGAAGAGTTCATTATACTGTAGGGGTGTTTACCACAACAGAAGAAGAGTTCATTCTACTGTAGGGGGGTTTACCACAACAGAAGAAGAGTTCATTCTACTGGGGGGTTTATCACAATAGAAGAAGAGTTCATTCTACTGTAGGGGGGTTTACCACAACAGAAAAAGAGTTCATTCTACTGTGGGGGGTGGTTACCACAACAGAAGAAGTGTTCATTCTACTGTAGGGGGGGATTACCACAACAGAAGAAGAGTTCATTCTACTGTGGGGTGGTTACCACAACAGAAGAAGAGTTCATTCTACTGTAGGGTGGTTTACCACAACATAAGAAGAGTTCATTATACTGTAGGGGGGGTTTACCACAACAGAAGAAGAGTTCATTCTACTGTAAGGGGGGTTTACCACAACAGTATGATAAATAAAATTGTTAAATGAGGTGGTTCTATCCACACTGAATAGTTACATACTAAACCCTAGAGCTTGATGTTTATGTATTTTAACTTATTAGACCACAAAGTCCATTACGCGAAATGATGGATTAAGAAGATTGTTTGCGTCAAAATTTCAAAAGTGGGCCTCTCTTCTACCAAGAGTTAAAAACGAAATGAGAATGTCAATAAAATCAATTTCTTTACAAACAGTGAAACCAGACTCTCGACGAATGTATCCTCAAAATCTGGTTGGCATTAAATAACCTATTGTGTTTGATAAGCCATAAAACAAAATAAATAAAACGAAAGAATGAAACAAATCACACGAACAATGTTATCGACTTTGTTATTGATATTCCTAGCATTGTTGAGGTAGATAAAAATACATTTCTCCCATATATATATATATATATATATATATATATATATATATATATATATATATATATAAAAATTTATAGAAAATAGGAGAGAACTGCTTAGGTAAATAATCCAGAGTTCCTTAGTATTTTAGTTATTATTTTTAAAAATAGTGCCCGATACAAAAGTAGAGCATAAATATAGTTATTTATTTAAAATACGTTATTCCAAAAAAAAAAAATTTCGCTTGAAGATGGAACAGAGCTTACTTTAACTCAATTTAATTCAAATAATTATATTGAAGTTTTTGGCTCTTGTTTTGAAATATGAGACCTCTTATGTCGCGAGTTGGAATCATATTTTTAAATAAATAAATAATTATATATATATATATATATATATATATATATATATATATATATATATATATATAGTGTAACCCGGATGTAAGAGACCCGGATATAAGAGACCTCGATTTAAGAGAAACCCGAACATAAGAGAGATTTTCTCTGCTCCCTAATTAGAGCCTGTGTTAATGTATATAAAATAGACCAAGCCCGGATATAAGAGAAACCCGGACATAAGAGACTTCTCCGATCCCGACAACTCTCTTATATCCGGGTTACACTGTATATATATATGGGAAAACAATGTATAAATTTTTATATATGACGAGCAATTTTAATTTTCTATCTATCTATCTATCTATCTATCTATCTATCTCATTCTGTTTAAATCTTTTTACTTATCTCTGCCTCAATTCACATCTATCTATCTATCTATCTATCTATCTATCTATCTATCCAATTCTTTTTATTATCTGTGTATCTCAGTCTGTACGTATCTATCTATCTATCTATCTATCTATCTATCTATCTATCTATCTATCTCGTTCTGTTTAAATCTTTATACCTAGCTCTGTCTGCCTCAATTCACATCTATCTATCTATCTATCTATCTATCTATCTATCTATCTATCTATCTATCTATCTATCATAGTATATAATAGATATAACGATAGGCATGTTGTATTAAGACCCGAAAGCCCTAATAATTTGCTGCTAAAAACATCATTTATTACAAGAAGTATCTCATCACAGTCAAGAAGCAATGTTTTTGTTTCGGCACAATATTCACGCCTCAGTGATTAACAAATATTACTTTGATATTTTTATCCTTTTTCATTATAAGTGAATATCTCCTCACCGTCAGGAAGTAACAAGAAAAGAGGGCTTGGAGAATCCAATACTCAAATGTCATATGGAAAGCTAGAGAAGCTGGGTAAAGCAGTGAGCAACTTAATGAGTTTGTGCGATCGGATTGGATAGGAAAAAAGATCAAAACTCACTCAGAGCAACAAAAGATAGGAAGTTGTGGAGAGCCATGATCAACTATCTCCTTAAAGGGCATAACATTTAACGAATGAAGCATGGTGGCTGAACAGTTAAAAAGAAATAATAAAGGATCAAACGTTAATGAGAGTAATGAAAGACAGGAAGTTGTGGAGAGCCATGATTACATATGACTTGATGGGTTGTGATGCATAAAAGTAGGCGTATCATATAGACGAAGAGAATAAGGATGAAGAGAGATGGTAAAAGACAATAGCTCCATAAAGCAACAAATTACACCAACTTGTGGAGAGCCATGACCAGCAACCTCTTCAAGATATATGGCACATAGGAGAAGAAAGAGAAGCAAATGGACGACAGAATAAGCATAGAGAGAGATGGTAAAGGGTCAAGTGTAACTTAGAGCAAAAAAAGATCGGAACATGTGGACAGTCAGGAGCGAACACGTTCTGAGGGCAGACGGCAAATGAAAGAAAAAAAAAAAGAGGAGTAAATCGTAAACGTCTTTTAAATAATACAAATTCTAAAAAGGTCTTACCTCATGCCAATCGTCAATGTCTGAATAAATATAATCTTTGGATGTGTTTAATATAACGTACGGCGGATCGACTCTGGCGTTGTTAAATTCGCAAAAGGACTGATTTTGATTGTAATTAAAAGACAGGCTTCTGCGTCGAAAGCAACACATCCGGGCGCATCGAAAAGCATCAGGAACGGAGACTAAACGGTAGAATTGGAATCCATGTGGGCGTTTTCCTCTTTGAAATATGGTGCTTTTAACTTTCACTATTTTACACGCGGGGTATGAACTGCAGACAAGATTTATAAGAAAAAGGATAGGGAGAGATAGTAAAAGGTCAAGAGTTATCAGAACATTTGGACAGCCTGGAGTGAACCCAACTTGGAGGGAGACGGCAAACGAAAGAGGAAGTAGAATAAATCATAAACATGTTTTAAATATTGCAAATGAGAAAAAGGTCTTACCACATGCCAATCTTTAATGTCTGAATAAAGATAGGCCCTCGGATGTGTTTAGTATAACGTGCGGTTCCATCAACCCTGGCGTTGTTAAATTCGCAAATGGACTGATTTTGATTGTAGTTAAAAGACAGGCATCTGCGTCGAAAGAAACACATCCGGGCGCAACGAAAAGCATCAGGAACGGAGATTAAACGAGAAAATTGGGAGAAGGACTGAATTCTCAGCGTATGTTCAATTTATCCTTCGCTCACCCAAATTTTAGACAATTTTGGTAGCATGATTAAAACTTTAACTATTACCAAATCTAAATCGGGTCCTGAAGTGGAAAAAACATTTCAAATCGCATAGCGGGCAACCTTCAAATTATTTTCACGATATATAGATGAAGAGAATAAGGACAAAGAAAGATTGAAAATGGTCAACAGTTGCAGATGAGAAGTTGTGGAGAGTCATGATCATACGTCTTGAAAGGAGGAGGAACATAAAAACAGAAGTATCCTATAGATGAAGAGAAAAATGAAAAGAGATTGTAATAAGTCAATAGTTTCGTAGACAACAAAGACTGGAAGTTGTGGAGAGCCATGATTACATACGTCTTGAAGGAATATGGCATATAAAAGAAGAAAGAGAAGCAAATGGATGACAGAATAAAGACAGTCAAGAGTGAAGCCGTTCTGAAGGGAGACGGAAAATGAAAGAAAAAAAGAAGAGTAAATCTTAAACGGGTTTAAATAATGCAAATGTGAAAAGGTCTTACCTTATCCCAATCGTCAATGTCTGAATAAAGATCGTCATTGGATGCGTTTAATATAACGTACGGCGGATCGACTCTGGCGTTGTTAAATTCGCAATAGGACATCTGTCCATTGTAGTTAAAAGACAGGCATCTACGTCGAAAGAAACACATCCTTGCACACTGGAGAACATCAGGAACGTAGGTTGAACGGTAAAACTGGAAACCTTGGAGGCGTTTTCCATTTTGGAATATACTGTTATTGACTGTCACTACTTTACATACGTTAGATGAAGTGATGACAAGATTTATAAGAAAGCCTGACAAACAGAACAGCGGCAAGACCGACATTTTTATCGTTTGATTTCGGTTGTTAGGTTTCCAGGTAAAGGATTGTTGTTCACAAAATTGATCGGCGCTCGTATCGATTCCCATTTGTGGTTAACAGACCAAGTAGTAATTTTCGATCTGTCTTCAAACATACACATATATATATATATATATATATATATATATATATATATATATATATATATATATATATATGGTTGAACCATATTCTCTTTAATTTTTCTGCTTGTGGTTCTACTCGTTTTATTATTTCTCAAAGATCCCTGGTAACCAATTTTTGTTTGAAATTATTCATGCCGAGGGTTTCGTTATAAGTTATTTTGTTCTCATTAAATATTTTTTGTTAGACGATAATTTATTTATTCTAGTGTTTACAGTGTGATTGATTTGTTTAAATACTGTGTTTTCTTAGTGAAATGGCTTATATGTGTTTTTAGAAAGGGTGAAAGTGACATCTAAAAAATTGACTATCTTCAGGTTAGATAAGATTTCAATCTTGAAACCTAGGAATCGGAAAATCCTTATAGATCACGCCCCACTGAGTCAGGATGTGACACAAGGTCGGTTTTAACGTGGGGAACCCGAGTGTTTCCACTCAAGCCACTGGTCTAAGCTGGTCTTAGCTGCTCATAGCTTGTCCAAGCTGGTCAGAGCTGGTCTAAGCTAGTCATAGCCGTGATACTACCAGCAACAGGGCCGGAGAACAGGTGCCAGGTAAGTCTTTATAATTTTCTTCTTTATTCTAGAAGAGGACTTTTACTATATGGGATAGTCCGTCATCTCTGTACAGGCGTATTTGTTTAGGAGCAGTAATCCTACTAAGAGTGTCTAATATATAGATACCTACTAAATCCGCAATTTGAGCGGAGTCATATGCTCCCATAGGAACGTCAAAGTTATCATTACTCATTTTGATCCAAGTAGAATTATTATACATTAGTAGAGATTTTCTAGCAGCTAAGATAACTCCGAATTCATCATCAGTAATGTCAATCTGGCTTTTAGCAAAATTTAAATTTTTTAATAGATCTTTTGAAATCGAGAGGTAGACGTCTGTAATATCAAATTGGATAAAAGTGGCTATATTTTTATCTTTAATATTCTGGAACCGTTTTATAGTATCCGAAGAATCTTTCCAAAGATTATTATAGGAGGTTTCTTGTATCGCCTGTGTTATTTTTTTGAGTATATTTTTAGAAATTAGGCCCAATTCTGTTTTAGAAGGATTAATTAATCTGATTGTAGATGATTGTCGAAATTAGGTTTGTGGTCTTTAAAAAGTAAATATGCATACTTTATGTGAGTTTTCTCCATTCTGTCTGTATTATCAAATTTATTTCCAAAAACGGCAGTATCTTTGTTAAGTAAGGAAATAGTTTTTAAAAGTACTCAAAAGCACAAAAAGATTTGTCCACAAATCCTTCGTTTTTGAGTGATTAAATTTAAAGAAAGATGGCGCTGCGTTGTCATTGGCGTACATTTGTGGCTAGTCTGTCTTCAACGTTTAAAGTGTGTAGTAGTGAGTTAACTGAGAAGCGTTCCGTTTAACAATGGCAGGATATTCATATAGTGAGCAAGCAGATATGACTTTTACATACGGCCACACAAATAGTAATGGACGCGAGGCTGCAAGGTTGTATCAGATTGTGTTTCCAGATCGAAGACAGCCGACTAAGCGACGAAACCGCCTCCATCCTAAATTTGTTAAATTTTCTGATAGAGCAGGAAAAAGTTTACTTCAGAATAAATTTGTTATGTTGGTGTGACTACACATGCGCACGAATGAGGGGTCTGGAGATTTTGGAATGTTTTAGATTTTTTTTTAAATTTTTAATTTTTTATATATAGCCGAATTATCTCGGTTTTTAATCCTTTTAAAACAGAATTAGGCCTAATTTAATCCTTCTAAAACAGGGTTAGGCCTAATTTCTAAAAATATCATAACCCCCCCCCCAAAAAAAAAAACACAGACGATACAAGAAACCTATTATAATAATCTATGGAAAGATTCTTCGGATAATATAAAATGGTTTGGACAATAAACGGCATTATCAAAAAATAAGAGCGATAACTAAAGTAAATTTAAAGCCAAAATTTAGATTACCGAGAATATTTAAAAATTAAATGAAAAAGGCGCTCACGTTATATTCTTTGATTATGTTTTCCACATAAATTTTCCGTAGAACAATACTGAAAGTGTCATCAGGCTGTTAACACGTCAACGCAACTACTATCAGGTTAAATCATCTTTTCTATGATATTTTAAACTTAAAGTAAATAATAATGAGCTTGAGTAAATGGATAGTGAAACAGAGTTTAGGAGAAATGACAAAAAATTCTTAAGAGCTACAAAGGAGAGGAAATTGTGGAGGGTCATGATCGTCCACGTTCAGAAGGGACACGGTACAATGAAAAAACGAAAAAAAGAGCTTGAGTAAATGGATAGCGGAACAGAGTTTAGAAGAAATAACAAAAAGACAAAATTTATTAAGAGCTTCAAATGAGAGGAAATTGTAGAGGGCCATGATCGTCCACGTTCTGAAGGGATACGGTACAATGTAAAAAAGAAGAATGAGCTTGAGTAAATGGATAGCAAAACAGGGTTTTGGAGCAATGGATAGCGGCTCGGATTGCGGAATCAGTGAGCCGAGTTCGACTTCCTGTCGCATCCATTGCATTCACTTACGTGCTAATATCCTTGCGAAAGGTACGCATCTTCTTATCTCCCCATCTATGGATAAATAGTAGGACAGACCGGATTATATAGCTTTTGATGGCTACTGGTCTACTGTATAAAGAAATGGCAACCTACTGCGAGAAAAAAACTCTGCCTCGTCAGTCATGTATCGAAAGAAACATGATTGCCTAATCGTGTATCAGGCATGACACAGAACTGATTAAGTAAAAAGACAGAATTTATTAAGAGCTTCAAATGACAGGAAATTGTGGAGGGCCATGATTGTCTACTTTCTGAAGGGACACTGCACATAAAGATGTAACAATGTAAAAATATAAGAGGTTATTGGCAAAGTCAAACACAACTGCCATACTGCTCGACACTCCTTAATGTAATCATGGCTAAGACCCGCCAAGACATGTACATTGTAGCGAACCGCACTTGGTGAGATGCAAGTTCCATTCAAGCAGCTTCTACCCAAAAACCATTGCCCATACTTTCGGCCTTGTGCCACATCTAAGATATGCTTAGAAAATCATTACTCGATGTCTTTTCAAATTAGCAGGACG